CGTTGCGTGCGAGTATCCTTGAGCCCCACTAGTGCCAGTAAGCTCGTATAAAGTGAAAAACATTCCAATTGAATATCGTTGCACCGCCTCTTTAAGGAGACTCGATACGGTGACTGGTGGACAGGGAGTGCGTCGTCGTCGGTAATAATGCGATGTTTCGCCATTGGTGTTTGGCGAACTTTCGATGTCGTGGAAAAACAGTCACTGTATTCGGCGAGGAGATCAACCAGTTGCCGGCGCTTCGAGGCTGGGAGCTCGGGGTCGATGTCGAGCGGCGGCGGCGGCGTCGTGCTCTTCTGCCGTGGCGACGAGGTTTCCTTAAATACTGCGGTGACCACGGCTGGCGCCTGAAGCTCCTCGACGTAGCCCATGGTGGTACCCTTCGTTAGGTGCTGCGGTTCCTCTCGAAAGTTTGTTACGAGAACAGTTGTTCGTCCTTCTTGAAGATACGTTACGCCTCGTGCGACGCCAATTCCTTTTTCAAGGAGCAGTTAGACGCTGCCTTCCAGAAGAGCTTCACCGTGCATGGCTGCGTCGGTTATGACTGTGACGAAAACACTCGACCGCGGCGGCAGATTCACATGGTCGGCTATAACTCGGATCGCGGATGACGTTGTGTTGGCCTCCACCGGCGGCAGAACAGGCTTTCGCAGCGTCAACTGGTTTGCCCCGAAGTCGATGACGGCGCCATACTCGCAGAGAAAGTCCATTCCGAGGATAACGTCCCTCGAACAGTCTTGAAGAACGACGAACTTGACAGGGCACGTCTCACCATGGATCTCGACGCGAGCAGTGCATCTCCCTACTGGTGTAATGAGGTGTCCTCCGGCGGTTCTTATTTGTGGTCCATCCCACGGCGTCATGACTTTTCGAAGGCGGCGGGAGAGCCTCCCACTCAAGACTGAGTAGTCTGCTCCGGTGTCCACGAGTGCCGATGCGTCGAGGCCGTCGATCATAACGTTCAGGTTGTTGGACACCGATGCAGGAGCGTCGTTGTGATGTGTGGCGTCGGGAGAGTGGGAGCGCTCCGTCGTTCTTGGAGGCTCTTTACGTCGGTCGTCTTCGGCAACCCCACCTCCAGGGGTGTGCGCGCCTAGTTTCCCCGGCTAGGAGCGAGGGCGACAGGCTTTCACGTCGGGGTCGGTGCATCGGCGAAGCTGGACATCGTGGCGATGGCGACCGGAACTCTCGGCGGGACGCAGGCTCGGGGGAGTGGGGTCGTCGCAGGTACTCGTCGATCTCCCGAGGGCGTTCACCATACCGGGGGCGCGGGTCGTTTGGGCGGAATCCGCGCAGCCCGAGTCGTCGGTATGGGCATCGGCGGTACCCATGGTCGGCTTCCCCGCAGTGGTAGCAGAGCGGGCGTCGGTCGGCCGTTCGCCACACGTCGGTCTTCCTCGACGAGGGTTGCTCCGGGCGAACGTCCTGGACTTGTCCTTCCTGGCGTCGAGGATACTGTGGCATCGGAGGGTCTTGTCGGGGTGGCGCCGTGGTCTGGCGGTTAACTTGCGGCGGTCGTCGGGCCATGACGGCGTAGCTCAAAGTCGGCTCCTCTGGCGTCGTCGTTTTGATCGGAACCTCAGGTTGGAAGGCTCGGTGGACTTCCTCTCGGACGACCTCGGCGAGCGACAGGGAGGACGGGCGATCCGTAGCGGGGAGCATCTTGCGGATTTCCTCCCGGACGACTTCACGGATGATGTCACGGATGCCTGGGAGGTCGGTACCAAGGTCGTATCCGGATGTCGCCAGAGTAGTTACGCCAGGGTGTCGCTCGTAGTGTCTGGCGTGTGCCAGTAGGGCACGCTCCATATTCGTCGCCTCCGTGACGAACCCGTCGACAGTTGTCGGATATCTCGCTTTTCACACCCCTCATCAGGTGTCGCAGCTTCTTCTCCTCTGTAGCCTGAGGATCGGCGCGGGCGCTCAGGCGAAGAACATCCTCGACGAAGCTGGTGATGCTTTCATTCGGACATTGCGTCCTTGTTCGAAGGATGTCTTCGGCCCTCTCGCGTCGGTGTTGGTTGGTAAACGTCTTCACTAGCTCTTGCTTGCACACCTCCCACGAAGTTAAAGAAGCCTCGTGGTTCTCCAGCCAGTACCTTGCAGTACCTTCCAGCGAGAAGTAAAGGTTCTGCAAGCAGTGCTCAGCTGACCACCCGTTATGTCGGGCCACACGTTCATAATGTTGCAGCCGGTCCTCGATGTCCTCGTGGGCGTCTCCGTGGAAAGGCTTCGGAGCTTTGGGTGCGACGGCCAGGTATACGACGCTGGCGGTGGACGGGTTCTGGGACGACTGGCTGTCCATCGTTGGCCTCGTTGGCTGCTTAGTCTTGGGCGGTAGAGGTCCGAATTCCGGGTGTAGACCTTGGGTGCGACGACTGAACCGGATCTCGGAAGTGCTTTCGTCGGTTCTTCGTCGGCTAGGCGTCGGACTTGCACTGCGGGCCCTCGGAGGAATACGCGGCAGGGGCATGCGGTACCCAGCACCTCCACCAAAATGTCACGGGTGGTGACCAAAAAAACAGGAAATAAACAGAAAGAAATAAACGTTTAATGTGGCGAACTTCTGCCAAAAATAAAAGGGTACAAAGATAATAACAGAGCGTTGCGGGCGTCGAAGTCGGCGTTGCAGCACAGTCGAACGCTGGGGCGAAAACTGAACTCGCTCGCCTGGCGGAATCCCTTATGTACCCTCGTGGGTTTCTGGATCGTTCGGCGTAGAAGGTTCGGCGCGTAGAACCTTCTAACCTCGAATCAGCAAGACGGTTCTCGAATTCACCAGAACATCACATTACAGTGTCAATAAAAATGTGTAGCCGCGGCCAGGATTCGAACCCTGGCCTTCCGCGTGGAAGACAGGCGCGATAACAGTTAGGCCACGCGCGCGCTGACTACTTGACCGGCTGTGCGCGCGGCAATATAAAGAAAAAGAAAATACTTATCTTGGATTTCAAAAGCTTCTTAATTCAATTTAATGTTTTCTTACATATTCTAGACAAAAAAAAATACCGCGTCTTTTTTGGCATGGAATGACCCTTCGGAGATCTGCGGACAGTGCGTGGGCTAAGCATTAATGAACCCGCCGTAGCGCTTAACATGATCGGCTGCGGGATGTCAGTTCCGCGGTCGGCCTCCTCGCTCGGCTCGCTTGATCGCATTCAAATTTTCACAACTCAAACCGAAACAACGCCTCTCCTCTCCGTGGCAAACTTGTGTATAGAATTAAATTTGTAAAATGTAGTGTATACATAGATTAATGGCTGATTCCCTTCAACTTTCTGTTCATATTCGTTTATGCAGGGTTGTCAAGTTCAAAAGGATGACCCCTGCAGTGCATTCTCCTGAGCAAGCTACTCTAATAAACTTATCTGTCGAAGAAACCGTCATAACTTTTTATTTGTGGCTGCTGGGTCGATCCACTTCTGGCGGTGCCCGTTTGGGACTAACGAAGGATTTTTTTCCGTTCCCGGATGACCTGTTTACTCTCAGAAAAAAGGGTGTATTCTTACACCCTTTGTCCGATATAAAACACCCCAAAACTTCAGTTCGACGTACAGCGCACTGATGTCGATCCGGCGGTACCAACTTTCCCGAGAGGCTTGTTAGATGTGTGGTAGAACTTGTTAAAATTGTTACTGTACGCCTTACTGACTGGGAAAAATAATCCGGGTTTTCTTGGCCCTTCCCCGAAACCTCAGTGTTTTTTTTTTCTGTAGTTTTTGATACCTATTTTAGCTGTTTTATGTTATATCGCCTCGTTATTAAGCCCATCGTAAAATTTGGGGCCGTCTGTTCGACTTCAGTGCGCTGTACATAGAACTGAAGTTTTGAGGTCCATTAAATGGGACAAAAGGGTGTAAGACTACCCCCCCCCTCTTTTTTTTCTTTAGAGTGGATATAAAACGGCCACTCATATCGAATGGGTGCCCCTATCAAAGGGGCGCCGACATCAAGCGAGTGCTCATACAAAACGGCTACCCATATCGAACGGGTATCCCAGAGCCGTATATGTAGAGAGTTTGGTCAATGGGAGGCGCTGGCAGAGCCAGGGCGTGCGGCAGACTCGGAAAGAGGGCTTGGCATGCTCTCTTGACCAACCAGAAGCCGAAAAGAATCCCCTAGCGGTGGTAGCGAGAAACAGTTCTGATCAAAAGTCTATGTTCGTATATGATTTTAATAAGGGCGTAAGAGTGAGGTGTAGTAACTCTTCGTGGTTGAAAATAGGGTGCACGTGTTGTTTGGTTCATGATCATGCAGAAAGATGTGTAAGAAACGAATGCGCCGCTCAACTCTGTTTGGCGCGGACAGAGTGTGACCGCTCGGACGGCAGATTCCCGGCTTTCGGAGCTTGGCGTACGGATTATATCGATCGTTCCGCTAGTCGCACTCTTCCACCATCATTTCTGATGAGCGTGATTGAAACATCGGGTGTACCATATTTCCAGCCATCGAGAGTTACTCCAATGCAGTTATCGGGTTTGTTTCTCGCGACCACCGCCAGGGGATTATTTCCGGCTTCTGGTTGGTCACATTCGAATTTTTGAAGACGCCCTGGAACACGCCCAGCCAGCTTTCAGCCAATGGCGCTTCCTCATTTGTCTCCTATACTTCCCAACGAATGGCCAAACTCTCTACATATACGGCTCTGGGGTATCCGACCCGTATGCCCATCATACCGTATCACCTGGATGGGTTCAGCAGTTTGGAACCAGATCAAACTGTAAACTTTTTTCTTCAGTATACATGACGTGATGCACACAAAAGAAGCTGGATAATTATTTCACGCAGAGAACGCGTCAGAAAACTCACCATAAGCATTAGATAGCTTCAAAATATCTCCATAGAATCGGGTTATAAGAGTTGCAGAGTAACATAATGCTGTGACCATTTTCACCTTATTTCAATTGACATCATAATTACTACAGCGCTCTTTTTAAGATCACAGTAATAACGTAATGTGGCGCATTGTCGTGGGCCGTCGTGGTTCCTCTCATTTGCAGTGTACCTTGCGGACGCCTGCGGCACCATAACTGGCAAAGCAATGCGTTCTCACTACCTCACCCTCCGTGACGCCAAGGCAACCATGTCGGTGTACTCGCACAAGGGCAACACCCTGCCACGGACGGTGCAGAAATGCCGGCTCCAGTTCCAGACGGAGTCACACGCCAAACTGACGCTCACCTTCGTCAAGCTGGACACCACCCAGAAGCCTTTCGTTTGCTACATGTACCTCAAGGTAGCCGCCTGAATCACGTTCGAATAATTGCTACATGCCGACTTCAGCTAATAAAATAACATCAACCTGATTATACTGAAATGTAGCTCTCTTAGTGCCGGTAGTTTTGCGGCAATGTTTTAAGAATCTTGTATAAATGTTGTCCCACTGCAAGATAAACCTTTCGCATAACTCCATACACCAAAGTCTAAAAAAAAAAATCAGTCCTTGAAAGGTCAACAGCTCAAGGACTCTTTCAGCTTGGGGGGAACGGGCTCGCCTCAAGCAGAATCGCCCCCTGTTGCAATAGAAAGGCGTTTTGGCGATGAAAAACTATTTCGCATTAAAAGTGGAACTTAAAAGAAACTCTAATACGGTTTTTTCTGAGGAACCATTTTAGGGAGTGCTTGCAATAAGTCTCTTGGGTGAAAAATAAGGACAAGCCAAAGAACCCCTAAGAGTTATTTCACGACCAGATTTGGTTAGGGGGTATATATGTACTCATTTTATACAGTATTGCATCGCTTTGAAAATAAGTGTCTTAATATTGATTTTTTGGTACGTCAGTTTGACTCCGGTTGTTTGGTAGTATTGAATTCAAGTGGCCGAGTGGGTTAGCGCCAGTGTTGTACACGTTCCTCAAAAAAGGAACGAAAGCTCGTTCCTCGTTCCCTCTGACTTTGGAACGCGTTCCCGTTACAAGTTCCATATGTCAAAAAGGAACTCGTTCCCGTTACAGTTAAAAAATGAAACGTATCGTTACATTTACGTTACATATATGTATTTTGCTGATTACCACATTTATTTAGATCGGTGGAGGTTTTCTTTTTTATTATCTTTTCCATCAAATGGCAACATACGAATTTGAATACCATGATGAAAAAGCAGCAGGCGAAGAGAAGCGGAAGGGGGGTTTAATTTTTTCATATATTCACCTTTAAAAGTCTCAACTTATGACCATATTCATGTTTGTAGTGGGCGATCCAGAGGAGCAAAATGTACTGTTAACCCGCATTGCACGAGCGTTTTAAAACAACTTCACAGGTTTCAGTCTAACAAAATCCCTTGTTCAAACCTAACGACAGTTGCTTCTCGAAGTTGCTGTCCGCAAGATGAGCAAGTGAAGAAGGGGGTAGGGCTTTTCGAAGATCAGTCTTGAAAACTAAACATCCTTCTTCGTAAAGGTTGGATTCATAGTTCAGTTTGAAGGTGAGGGACTAAGAAAAGAAGGAATAAACGTGGGTTACCTTTTAAGTGACCGATGTCCGGAACACAGAGGTGCGTTCGATGACTGGTAACCTGTTCTTTTGTTGTAACTGTGTGTCTCTTTGGTGGAAGTGTAGCGATGGCTGCGGTCGGCCTTAGATTTCTGGGTGCATGAAAACTCGTGGAAGCAAAGAAAGTAACTGAGTTTAAAACGCTCTTCTTTCTGTGTCTTTTCCTTCGACTAAAAGTTTTGCTTTTTGTACCAAGCCTTGGGCACTGAAGAAAGAATCAATGTCCACTAGTTCTTTTGCACCCAACCGTTGCCAAGCGAGGATCACAAGTAACCAAAGAGTTACTCAGGTCCTGCTCTTTGTAAAGATATAGTTTTTATACTTGTGGAATTTCCCTCTTAGAAATAAAATAAAAATTACCCCACTGGACGAAAAAATAGGAACGCCATTCTTTTTTTCCATTCCAGCGAAAATGTAACGAGTTCCCGTTTCAGTTCCACCGATGCAAAACGAACGGCAGCGTTCCTTCGTTCCTTCTAAAAGGAACGCGTTCCAGGAACGCCGTTCTTTGGAACGCCGTTCCGTACAACACTGGTTAGCGCACCTTAGCTCGGAGCACCTATAGCGAAAGCTCGCGTTCCAGAACCCCGGGATCCTGTGTTCCATTCCCACCCCTGGCCGCCCCATATCCATTTAGATGATGCCGGTGTGCGGTCATGTGTCACTACTGCCTGGTGCACGTTAAAAACCTCGGCCTAGCGGGTGTACTGCGCTAGATATATTTCTCCTCTACAGACGAGGCACCATGAATACTTTAAGGCCGACTAACTTCCGCCTGTATAAACATGCATACAACACAATTGTTATTTGACGGAGCGCCGAAACAATGAACTTTTGACCTTGCTTAATTTGCACTGTCAAATTGTAGCAACGCCTTTGGTCGGACTGAGTCTGAAACGTAGTAAAGCAATTTACAACTGTGTACTTACTCCCCATGCAATATAGAGACTTTATTTGTGAGGGTACAACTTGGTCTGTCTTCAGACAAACGAACTCCGTGTGGACACAAAAACCCTCACCACGTCCTGCGACCTAAAGCTGCTCCTCTTTTTTTTTTTTTTTTTTTTTTTTTTCAGACCTACTTATACTTTACAACGAATTCTGAATATCTTGTATTGCCTGTAAAACCCGAGAGTACAAACTTCGTGCCGTCTGCTAGTTTCAGGTCCTCGATGACCCGGCATGCTCTAAAACAGAATATGTAACAATGAGAGCAGCTTCAGTGTAAAGTTTTGTTCTGCCATTAGCTCTGGAGCATCGCAAGAAGCCGGTTGTATAGGGATGTCCTGACGGTGGCGCTTGGATAAATGCTAAAAGTGTACAAAATTAGAAACCACATATAATAAAAAAGGCGAACAATATATCTAAATGTTTTTCATTTTATATTAAGTGCGTTGAGCATGCCGCAAAAAACAAGCGATTGGCAGTTCTTCCTTTTGTGTTGCCGTTTTGTTTCCTCATCAGCACTTCCATAAAAGTGCTAATGAAGTTGAATGTGCTCCTTTAGAGTAGAAAATCGGTAATGTGTTTTGACAGTTTTTCTAACAAATAATTATTTAGAGCTCGACGAAAACGCCCCTTCGATCATTGAGCTATAATATTTATCAGCTATTATTGCCATCTTTTAACTAGAATATAAAACATACAATTTTGTATTTTGACATCATAAAGAATTAAGGTCTTGAGAGAGCACCACAACTATATTGTTCACCTTGGGTTCGTCCCTGTATCTGATTAATCTAAGTAATAAGGAGATTCGGCACCCATAAAATGAGCTTACTCTATAATAAGTCGAAAAATTGTTGCATGCTCGTAACGAGCTCAAACTTTCATCAAATGCGTGTGTTAGTGGTGTATTTTGTCTATCAATATTTTATGGCCCTCTCCCCTATAAAAATCAAACCAACAAGCTTAACACTCATTAACGGACTACCAGACAGACGGTAGACTTAATCGAGGGTTGGGCTCATGTCAACTTGTGCTGATACACGCAGCAGGCATACGAGGGCACTCGGTCGATTGCGGACGCCAACGTCGAATGTCGGTAGAAGATGGCATCAAAAACCCAACCCTTGGTTAACGCGGCCACAGGCGTCGCGTTCGCTGTTGAAAATGTCACAATTACGTTTTTGGTTTCACAGTAATGTGAAGTGCACCATTAACAATGACCTAAAAGGAAATGTTCGAGCTCCTTACATGAAGGCGAGTCCTTTAATGCATAACAACCAACGAGGTAGAGGGGCTCAGAGTGATAAACTAGCAGCTGAAAGTGACCCCTAATTGGCCGCCGCCATGTTGCACATTTTTTACCTCTAGACATGTGACCTTATAGTTTTACGTCTACATTTTAACAAAGTTCCGCGCACAAATATTTGCTTATTGATTTTCAAAAACAGTACCGACGATATAAGTGATGTTTCGTTTGTTTAAAGTCCCAAATGTGCTTTTACAACAAAAACTCGGGCAGCTTCGCAATGGCTCTGGTAGATGCCGTCAGCCGTGGTGCTGTATTTGGGGGTTTTATCGGAGCTAGACACTGATCACTGGGGCTACCAGCATTGGAAAACATTTCATCATGTTTTTACAGCCATCGCAATACAAATCTTGGCTCAGTTCAGCGTAAAGGCCTTAAAATTTGGTGCGTGACGTGTCTAATGGTCAAAATTGTACAACATGGTGGCAGCCAGAGCGGAAAGGGGGGGGGGGTCACTTTTGACTAGTGAACGGGATGCCCGTTTGTCGCTCCAAGTCCCCCTACCTCGTTGATAACGACCAATACCGCTTCTGTTATGGTGTGCGCTGTTTTAAAAACATTGTAATGTTTATCAAGAGATAGCCTCTTATTTTTTTTTTTATTTTGTTCTTAGCTCTACATGTCGGACAGGCCAGACGTCGTGTGCGGAAGGGATGCCTCGAGCAAAAGCATCTCCACCACGGGACCCCAGATGGCGCTGGAATGGGTCATCAACAGTGGCGGCGACAAGCCCGGGGGAATTCACATGGTTCTCACCAGCTACAGGGATAGCGGTGAGTGGGGAGCCATGGCTCGCCCTTAGAAGGTTCTTAGGCAATCACACTTGGTATCACTAAATTTGACAAACATACAGGCTGAAGAGAGCACTATAACTAGGTCGCGTTTTCCTTTTATATAAATAATGATGTTTTGTGTATCGACTAATTTAATAAAACACTAACAGTTGGCAAAGCATTGTACGAAGTGTTTTCTTTGCATAGAGACTTGTTTTAAAAAATCTGCGAAACTATATAATAATGCGACCTGTGCAGGTGAGTTATATTGCCACGGGGACATAATATAGCGGGCTAATAGTATACCGATAAGTCAGATATTGACTAAATTTTGTTAATCCTTTTTTTTTATTTGCCAAGAGAAAAATCTGGTTCTAAGTAGAAACTTGCTGAGAGTCAAAGAAAGCCACTAAATCAGTAAATTTTAAAAAGGCTTTGAGCACGTGGGAAGCGCGAGGGTGCGCTAAAGTTGCCGCTCGTGCAGCAGACTCGAGGCTTTCGATGCGAAAACACGCCCGGTCTGCTTTTCCGCCTCTTATTATCCGCCTTTTCACATCACGCAGCCTTGCGACTGTTTTTAAGAGTGGTAACTTTAGCGCAACGCCACGCTTCCCACGCAATCAAATTCTCCATAATATGTACTAATTTAGTGCTTATGACTACGCTCAGCAAGTTTCTAATTATATCCATATGATTATCTTCACTAATTAAACGGTTATGGAACAAGATATACTTAATTCTTTGACTTAACACGACGATTACCACTTTAGATTATGTCTCCCTGGGCGTATACCTCAACTGCGAAAACCGGAATGACGTAGCTTATATGATTTTTATTAAAAAAAAAAGCATATGTAAAGCCTAAAAGACAACGAATTCCTTATTACCAATCATTGCAAAGACTCTTTTGCTGCCGTTTAGTATTTATTATCCTTGCATCTACATATTTTCGTGATTTCAGTGCAGTTTTTAGGTACACACATGGATGAAGTCCTCTGCATCCCCGTAATACTACCGCTCTTAGTATCTGCTACATCTGCTTGGCATCGTCTCCTAAAGCCGAACTAGTATTTAGGTTTGGCCGATTTTTCCTGTTTTTTTTTTCTGGCTCGGGGCTAAAGTCATGTGCTACTCTCACAGAAACATGATTATTACATTTCGATTTGTTATTTCACAGTTCTAGCTGCATTTGAATATCCTCATGGATGTTACGATCTCATCGCAACTATTTTGAAAAGGCGGTATGTCTTCATTCTTGTATATGATTTATTACGAAACTGGTTTTGCTATAACATGATAATGTCTGTAAGCACGAAGATGAACGTCTTCTAATGATACTTTTATTATAAGACGACATTATTAAATTTTTCATAATAAGAAATCTGCCACCGGATTTTCCTCTAAAACACTTCTGGCAAATTGCTGGGAAATTGCGTGGCATACGCGAAAAGCTTTAGCAACACAAACGTATACCTCTACCCTGATTTTCCAGACACCAGACGCCTACGTTTACGGCGATCTTCATCAGGTGTTTTAACCCGTATCATGTGTACACTTGAGAATCGTTTCTAGAATGAAGCCATAAACCTTTTTTGCATAACCTCACACCAGCGCTTGGCTGACGTGCCCTCGTCCCGGTGCATTTTTGAATTTCCCGCTGACACATGGCATGCAACCTCCGAGGGTATGGGTGAAAGGCTTAAAAACTGACGTCGTGCGTAAGTTAGTTCAGATTGCTTCTTTTTTTGCGTGTTATGATTTTTATAGTCTAGGGTTGTCTGGCTACCACCGCGTCGTCGTCGTGTGCACAAATAATTTTAATAAGAATAAGAACAATCGCGGAAAATGTGCGATGAGCACAAGAAGCTGCAGTGCGAGTGTGGCTGCTATGTTATTGAGCTTCAAACGTTCTACAAGAAACCTTATTTATGAAGTCAGTCGATCATCGCGAGCGTGAATCGCGAGGGCTTTGAATAAGACTCATCATCATGTTTACGCTCACGACTACTTCGTCTACGGCAAGAGGTGCGATCTAACCCGGTGCAGATGCACCGATTAAGTTATCACCGCAAGGTGAGCTATTGCTTAATGGCATGTTGAGGGTACACTCTAAGAAATACCTGGATGTCTTCTTACCCGCAAAACACTCGAAGAGCAAATCTCTGCTGACTACGAAATCAGCTCCGCGAATGATCATGCGGAACATCTGTTTAGACCTCAAAGTGGAGTCTGCGCTGTGGCATTACGCATTGCAAAGCGTCATGCTTGCATTGCGTAATACCACAGCGCAGACTTCATTTTGAGCTCTAAACAGATGTTCCGCCTTATCATTCGCCGAGCTGATTTGGTTGATTGTTGAGATTGGCTCTTCAAGTTTTTTGCGGGTAAGAAGACGTGCAGGCATTTCTTAGAATGTATAAAAATGTCTACATGCAATTACTCAAGATGCAGCTATCAAATGCCGAAAGTTTACCTTCATAGACTACATTAAACTGCTCATTTATACCTTCGTTGTTGGAAACTCAATCAAAGCACCCCACCATTGTCGTCCTCGTTCTTTCGAGGAGGCATGGTGATGGCCTGTTCCAGCTCGATTCAACCACCCAAGTTCCGGCCAAGTTATTGTAGCCCACCATAGCCAAGTCTAGCCAAGTACCCCCCATACCCCCATCGTTGCCTATTCAGATAGCTGAGCTGCCAGAACCAGCCGGTATTTTAAGCTTTAAGCCGCTAGACGGTGTCATCGGCGACGCAATTTTCAAGATGGCGGCACTTTAAAAAAAAGGGTCTATACTACCGTTAATTGGGCTTATAAACGTGACGATCTTGCAGAGACTTGCATACTCCCGAACTTCTCTCCATCAGTTAGCAGAGGTGGTCGGGCTCCTGCTCGCCTACCCTACTGGTCACATGGCCTCACCGTTAACCAATCAGCGTCCAGCACCTCAATCCTCCTCCCCCACTCATAAACCAATAAGTGTTGAGCCTCGCGGTCACGCTTTTATCTAGGCTTCACGAAATGCGAAACACGTAGCTTGTTACTAATATCCCACTGAACCCGATTTTATCTCGTTTCGCGGAATGTTTGTTATGTCACTAAACTAGAAAACTAAGTCTAATTGTGGGCCTGATAAAATCCCAAGCGCTTTCCTGTGTAAATATGCAGAATCGCTTGCACATTTTCTTACTGTCATTTTTCGCGCTTCTTTTAGTTCTTGTGTGCTACCTAGTGACTGGCGAATCGCACGTGTCGTTCCCATTCATAGAAAGGGTGATTGTACGGTAGTCAGTACTTATCGTCCTATTTTTATTACGACTACTTCGTGCAAACGTATGGAGCATAATGAGAGCATTTCTGTTCGAAATTTCTTAGAAGAGAGAAACTTGCTTACAACATTTCAGCACGGCCGGGTTCTGAAGAATTTTATCTTCCCTTACGCAACTTGTCACCACAGTTCATGATTTGCTGCTAATTTAGACAAATATGGTCTGGTCGATATTATTTTTTTTTTAACTTTAGCAGGGCTTTCGATAAAGTTCCACACGGCAAACGTCTTTATAAATTAGAGTGCCTTGGAATACCGTCTGAGATTGTCAATTGGAAAGGTTCGTACTTGTCTGATCGCAGTCAATTCGTCGACATTGGTGGTCATGCCTTCAGGTATTCTGGGTGTTTCCTCGGGTGTTCCTCAGGGCAGTATGCTTGGCCCGTTGTTGTTTTTAACATATAAAAATGATATTGTCTCAGTTGTTAGGTCAGATGTAAATGTTCGTTTATTCGCCGATGATTGTATTTTGTTTAAAAGGACATCCACTGTTACCGACCAAATATCCCTGAATTTTTCCCTTGTCTCTACCTGCAATAGCGCATGGAAAATGCAGCTAAATTTTACGAAAACAGTTCATTAACGTATAACAAGAAAAGTGAAGCCACTGAAGCTCACTTATCAATTAAACAATGATGTAATATCTGATGGGACTGAATGTAAATATCTCGGTGTAACCATATCCCCCGATCTCCGTTGGTCATAACACATTCAAAACATATCTGTTCCTCAGCATCTCATACATTGGGGTTGATACGTTGGAAACTTAGAAGCGCTGCCACTTCCGTTAAATTTCAAGCATATAACTCCTTGGTCCGACCGAAGTTAGAATATGCTGGCATAGTATGGGACCCGAATACCAAAAAGGATGCGTCACAGCTCGAGATGGTTCAGAGGAGAGCTATTCGTTTCATCTATTGAAAGTATATTCGGCTAGATTCCCCATCTTCATTACTGATGGCAAGCAATATATCATCGCTCCAGCATCGTCGAAACTTTCCGAGACTAAACTTTTTGTCTTTGCTTTATCATAACAGCATTCAATCAAGTTTATAATTATCCCCATCATCATCTAGGGACACTAGGCATCATCATCAGTATTCCCTGGTACCAATATTCCCTCGAACTAACGTTTCTAAGTATTCCTTTTCCCCACGCACTATTACGAATTAAAACGGCCTCCCTCGTGACATATTTTTCCCCGACTTCAATGGTGCTCTTGAAAATCATGCCTTTTGAATGTTATCCTTTCCTGGTGTTTGTACATGCATTTTTTATTATTATTTTATATTAGGCGTTGATCAAGGAATATTTATTATGCTGATGGAGTTTACATACATATGTGTTGTTGTATAAACAATATATGGTTGACATCTGTTTCTTATTTCTTATATGTATAGTTTTGTTATTTGTATGTACCCCACACCTGCAGGGGCCTGTTCAAGGCCTGCAGTATGTCTACACAAATAAATAAAGTGTCACAGTTGAAATGAACTGAGTATTACCAATATTCTTGTTAAAAGTGCATTACAACACGAGACAGCGTCGTATGGCGCGGCGTTTTGAAATTTATCTCTCGAACTGTGTGTTCCAAGCATCAATCTAGATTTAATTTTAACTGTTCCGAACGATTACACGTATAACCTGATGTAATAAGTGACCATCATTTTTCAGATATCTCCGGAAACTGCGAATCTGACATGTACTCGTGCAGCAACCGACGTTGCATCTTCCGAGGTTTCGTGTGCGACGGCATCAACAATTGCGGCGACAGCAGTGACGAAAGGCTGTGCAGTCAGTATCGATTTAAAATAAGTGTGACAATCCAACTTCGCAAAATCGCTCATGCTAGATTTGATATTAACCCAGTTTGAATCACCTGCGTGCTAAGATACGATTAGACCGACCGGTTTCAAACTTGAGCGTTTACATATGCAATGAGCCAACATTTGAGCTCGCGTCATGGCTGACAGAGTAACTAGCAAAAGAAATTGAACGAGCGTGACTTTGATTATCCTGATGGTGTCGACTGAGCGTGATGTTATTTTCATGTTTCTGCGTTCACTTTCGCTTGATTGTCTTTCTTTGAGAAAGATTGGGGTAGAAAGTTTGTGGAGCATATTTTGACTGCGATGTCCATAGGCGCCAGAGGTGACATGATTGCCCGTTTAAGGGCTGCAACTTCTAAAAATGAGTCGTGTATTTTTTATTTATGCTTAGCGTCGTTTGTTCGAAAAATTGCTGTCTCTTTGTATTGGGTAAATCATGGCTGCCTGGTTTAAACAATATATTCCTTCTGATCCTGCTCTTGTGTAACACACCTCATTTTCGGCAACATTTACTACAACCAACGAATGGTTCGAGATTAGAAAAGCCCACAGCGTCAACTGACCTCCAAAAACTAAAACAGCCGAGCCAAAATTTATATATAGATTCAGCGCGCTGAATTAAGTAATAACTTAGTTCTAATTGTGGAGCCACGTTCTGTTCTATTTTGAGAACTTCACGTTTACTATAATCTCCGCGGTTGATCAACATATAGTTCTAGATTTCAAAACAAAAGTGTCGTGCTACAATTTGTATTATGATTACGAATTTACGAGCAAGTTATATTTCGGCACTGAAGCACCCTTTGCTTAGGGGATGATTAATGTTTACTAAGACGAGACGTTTCATGTACGGCCATCGGGAGGCACCAAGTAGCCGCAGACATTCAGTCGTCTGTGGGAGAAAAAAACAAAACTCCTGTGTGACACACCAATATGTCAGGGACGGGCAATATCGCGAAAGAAATGTATCACAATATAACCTTCGATATACTTTCGAATATTTGTGTATGTAGAGGTACATTAAAAGAAAATATAGTTGTATCTCAATACTGAAATAAACTTATAATATATCGATTGTATCGCAGTACTCCGCAAGGCATAGGTATCTCACGACATTCGTTGAGGAAAATTAGTTGCTGAGGTCTTACGACAAACTGAAACTACATTTTTGGTCAATCCCACAAAGAACCCCCTCCACAAAAGGGGAAGCCTTATTGAAAGCAAGAAAAAAAAAAGAGAAAGAAAAAACGGCGGTTTGAAGCAAGGTTCGTTTCAAGAAAAGCGGGATAGTCTCCTCCCGAAAAAACCTTCCCTGTTTCCACTCTAGCAGATCCAACGCTGGGGAAGAGACGGGTGGAGAGGAAAAAACCACCAAGTATGGGCAGTAGAGAACTTGTAAGAATGTTTCCTTCCTCTTATGTTGCTGAAGGTCCCGGGCCCTGGTGCAGTCAGCTTCGGCTCTTCCATCCAATCTCCCCGTCTTGGGTGACTCAAAAGCTTTTAGTTGACCCAGTTTGCGATGGACCCTCGCTGCAAAACACGCTTCATTTTGGACAGACGCTTTTCGGGCACGCAATTCTGTGCCTCCAGTGAATCTGAAGGTCACTGGGGGCAATGCTGTATTTGTAGAAAGATTCGGGATAGTATCCGGGAATATATGAAAAGTTCAAAGAGGATGTACATTAACTGACGCGAAAGAGGAAAGCAAGCACTGCCCTTTGCATTCGCCACAAACTGGACACCTTACTAAGAGTTTAAAAAAAGTATATATATATATATATATATATATATATATATACACACACACAGGGTGTTTCAGAGAACGCAGGCCAAATTGCTGCTGCGAAAACTAAGCATCGCACAAAAAAAAAAGGTTGATGCCGTGTTTGTGTCTGCCCAAGAATCTATTTAGAAAAAATATTAACATTTTGAAAAAAACAGATTTTGTTCTGTTTTTTAGAAAGTAACTTTTTATTTGTTCATTTTAAGGCCATAATTTCAATTGGAAACTTACTGGACATCATCAATAACCCCTACATCAACCCTTTTTAGACAAGTATAAAGCATGCCGAGCATTTTACCATGTTTTGAAAAACCCTTCAATTCTGACGCGTACTTTGGTTTCGGATTCTTATCCAAGCGCATCTTGGCGGCCGCTGTCCTGCCCTCTGACGGCTGAAGCGTGGAACCAAGGCCAGCGCAAGAGTCAAAGCTCAATCTTGCAATGTCATGCTCTTTCTCTTTCGAACAGCGAGGCGTTCCTTATCACCTGGCCACGCGGCCAATCAAACAGCGCAAAAAGCGCAACGTCATGGCGTGCTTTCTGCGCTTGATAGGACTAGCCGGCTGATGAGCGCGCACAGAGAGACGGCGAATATCAGCTGGTCCTATCAACTGCAGAGAGCACGCCATGACGTTGTCCTCTTTGGCTGTTTGATTAGTCCTTCGTCTCATAACATCGGCCGCGCTCGGACCTAAGCTGACACGAAGTATAGCTAATTGTCAGGCCTTGGTTCCGCGCTTCCACCGTTGTAGGGCAGGACAGCTGCCGCCAAGATGCGTTTGGAAAAGAATTCGAAACCAGAGTACGCGTCAGAACTGAAGGGTTTTTCAAAACATGGTAAAATGCTCGGCATGCTTTATACTTGTCTAAAAAGGGTTGATATAGGGGTTATTGATGATGTCCAGTAAGTTTCTAATTGGAACTATGGCCTTAAAATGAACAAATAAAAAGTTACTTTCTAAAAAACAAGACAAAAACTTTTTTTTTTTTCAAACGTTATTATTTTTCCTAAATAGGCTTTTGGGCAGACACCAACACGGCATCAACCTTTTTTCTGTGCGGCTTAGTTTTCGCAGGAGCGATTTGGCCTGAGTTCTCTGAAACACCCATATATATATATATATATATATATATATATATATATATATATATATATATATTTCTGCGTGTATTCGTATCTGTATTAGGAAATATTTTTTATCGTTTTTGCGGAAGTATTTCAGAAATATCCCGTTACTCAAAGGGCAAATATATCTCAGTATTTGTATTTTAGCCTTGAAGTACACGTATCGATATTTGCACTTTCGAGCACTTTTTGTAGTATGTCCGCCCTGCCCCGCAATATATGTATATATCGCCTTAAACTCAACTTGCAAAGTAAAAATGTGGAGTCAGCTATATCTCAAGCCTTGCATGTACATGTGGAGAACTGTTTCATGTCAATCGATATCCAGGAGCGCCCGTCATAAGGCAAGAATCCTCTTCGGGTTCTGCGTACAGGGTGTTTCTTTTTAACCTTAACAAATTTGTTTTAAAAAGAGCCGTGAAGCTACAATAATGTGGTGTCTACAGATGAGCTATACAGCCCGGCCCGGGGAGGGGGGGGGGGGGGGGGGGTTATAATGGAGGAGGCGACTCCCAGTAATAGGTCAAATAATTGGTTAAATATTGTTACTTAACATTTCAATTATTGAAAATAAACATATGGTTCTAATAGGACACTTGCTGAGGGTAATCAAAATCACTAAAACAGACACTTTGAGAGATGCTCCGAGTGCGTGAGAACCTATGTAGTGCACTAAAGTTACCTACCACTCGTGACAAAGGCACCATGCTGAGGTTAAGGTAAAAGACGAAAAAACCGCACTAGTGGCCGTGCTCTTGCTCTGCGAGTGGTAACCTTAGCGCTCCACCGTGCTTCCCACGTGCTCCGAGTTTTTATAATAATTTTTCAACGGTTTTAGATGACGCTCAGAAACTTTACAAATAGAACCATATGTTTATATCCAACAATTGAAATGTTAGTCAACATACTTTAGTTCATTAGCCGGCCGATCGTTACGATTAGACCCCTATACTATGTCCCCCTGTCCGTATAATTCACCTGCACAACCCGCATTTTGTTTTAAACAAACATGTTAGGCTTCTAAAACAACACCCTGTATAACGTGGCAAGATATGTAAAATAACAAGGTTTACGATCTTGACGGTTCCCCGTACCAATATAATCGTAATAAGGTAGAGAGATGGGCTACTTGGTAGATTGCAAGAATACTGGAAGGGGAACCGGATCGGAGAAAAGAAGAGCAGCGCGTCAGCATTGTTTGTCTTTATTCTGGTTCTCCTGGCACTTTCGAAATTTTGCAGTTCAATCTTTGTAATCTCTAAATTAAGGGAACGGAAAACGGTAAATATACTGCATGTAATATTTGATTGTAAGGGTGCCAACGACGAAGGGAATATTAAGCATGACACTACCCCGAGACTGTGGGTAAAATCGAAATAAACTAGAGGGTCTCAAAAAACAGCTGAAGAATTTATTTTCCAAAAAGTGCCTAAATAGGCACCGATTACAAGAACAAATAGAAATAGAAAAGGCCCAAAAACCCTCTTTCCACAACTGAACCCCGGTGCCTACTTAAGAGCTTTTCAAAAAATAAATTATTAACTTGAAGATTGCCCAAAACAAGTTCTTCGTTTTCTTGTTTTTTTTTTTTCCTTGAATTAGGAAAGCTTATCCGTCAATATATGAACTACATCTGTGCACCACATAGCCGCATCTCTGTGGTAATTATCAACGCGATACGTTAGGAACCGATATTTGGGACCGCCCAAAGTGGGATCGAAGTGTTAGTATACATTCTGTATATCGCCAGTGAAAGAGAAACTGTCTTGGAGTGAGCAAGTTTGAAATCCCCTGGTTAAGTGCTTTGTATAAATGTTTTATTAAAAAATCTAGAAATCTACTGACAGCCAATGTTTGAGCCGGTAGGGTCCAAGGGTATGCTGAGACTCAGCGTCTCATTTTACTCAGTTGGCGGTCGCCAGGACCACACCCTCGTCTTGGCCATAGTGGTACTTGCCCTGCTCTTCGTGGTCGGTGTCGGTGTCGTGATGCAGATCGCCTACAACCGCCGTGTGACTCGGGTAAGGTGCCGCCAGAATTATTCCTTAAGACGCCAGTCTGTGGTTTCATTTCTCGAAAATTTTAACAGTCTACGTTCGCTAAAATCAGGTGTTGCCCCATTGTTACTCAACAAAATTCGAAGCAATGTCGCCTCCTGGGTTCTCACCTGGTCTTGACCAATTTAACGCTATCGCTCTAATTTCTTTTTTTAGAAACCCGGCAGCAAACACGCGAAACTTTGAGTTTCATTCCAAACGAAATTGGCGGAGGTGCATTCAGCGAAATAATCCTGTTGGTGACCTTTATTGGACAAGCGTTGCATAGATGTATAAATTTACAACTGTGTTACACGATATATAACTGTAAAGTGATGGCTGAAAAACACTTGACTGGGTCGGTTTATCAAAGAACCGGGCCGAGTATCAAAGCTCTCGTGAGATAATGTGCTGACAGCGTGAGAGAACGCGCTGCGTAATACACTTACGTTTCTGCTGTAGCAATGACCGTGGTATACACAATGGCAGCTACCGAGTTATTCGTAAGTGCTTTTCGTGTACCACATTGGCTTTTGAAACTGCTTGCCGAGCTCCAACCGCCTATTGCGACACTGGTAATCGGGCAGTGCCTTCTGCGCGGCACTGCATCCCAGTGTTGCGGAGCTACCACTACGGCGATGGAACAATTCCGGAATCATTGCGCACTTCCGCGACACCAGAATGGAACGGGAATGGAATGGCGCCAGCGCTGAGAGGAACGGAATGGAAGTGGAATTGGTTGCCTTTGGACCCGGGATGGAGTGGGAATGTAACGGGCTCGGTGTTTACGTGAGCTGCGTCAGTCTTCAGCTAGGGCCCCACTGGCTGCTGGCGCAACTTTAGCGCATACTTAAAGTGGCTCTTATAAGAGCATCATTGTCTTGAAGGTGAATGACGGCTTGATCGTCTCACTGGCTCATGCTACTTCGAGGTGAAAGGGGCACTCCTGCAGTGATGCAACCAAAAGTGAAATGTGGAGACGGACAACGTGTCGTCCCTGGCGCCGCGAGACGCGACAAAGTGGCTGTTGTAACCATGCGCGATTAGCGTGCACCTTTTAATCCAGCAGATCTTCTAGTGTTCGCACGAAAAACAAATAAAAATTGGACAGGATATGGTAAGAAATCGCAAGAATCGTACGGCAAACGTAAACATATATGTTCTAAGGAAAGTTCCATAATATGGTCCTGCATTCCCTCGCGCTGGCACCGTAGCGATATGCATTTTGTTAGCGGTTTTACGTGCTTCCGGCGTGCAGTGCACGAGGATTTGGGGCACGTATGCGCCGAGAGACTGAAGGAGAGGAGGAGGAGAGGAGAGCGCAGGGACGTCAGAACAGCGAGCTCAGATTGGAAGGATTAGGGGGTAGACCTAAAGCTAGCAGCCTTTGTCTCCACTGCCCTCGTCGAACGCGTTACAACGCGGAACGCTGGCGTCCCGCGTTTGACTCTCGCATTCGAACCCGTTCGTCGGGTAGACCTAGGTCTACCTAGGTCTACCCGCTAATCATCCCATTCAGGGCTCAGCGTTATGACTACGGTCCCTTTAACTGAAAGGTAGCACTACTCCCTCTCTCCCCGCGTTTTCCTTCTTTCCATTAGGGACGATCCACCTCGCCCTCCTTCTGCGCCTCCCCCCCCCCCCCCCCCCTCCCCCCGCCGCCATTTTTGTTCGAAGCCCACAAGACGCACGAAAGTGCGCTCCTATGCTTGCCGGGCCGTACTTGTTCGCTATTCTATGCGGAAAAAAAATGGGTATATATATATACAGGGTGTTTTTTTTAAGCTTAAAAGATTTGTTTAAAAAAGCCGTGAAAGTTACACTTATGCCGCTTGTGGAGGTGAGTTATACGGCTAGGGGGACAAATCATAGGGGGCTAATCGTAACAATCAGTCGACTAATTAACTAATACTCGTTAATTAACTTTTTAATTAATGAAAATAGACATATGGTCCCAATTAGAAACTTGCTCGGCGTCATCGAAAACCACTAAATCAGTCATTTTCAGAAAGACTTTGAGCGCGTGAGAAGCGTAGTACACTCAACAAAAGGGAAGTCGTAGGGTACTACATTTGGGGTAGTCAGAAGCCGTCACAGATATCGTTACCCCCCTTAGTAATACTAACAACCCCATGGGTAGTCACGCGGCGTGCAATCAACAGGTAGGCACATTGAGCACCCCCAAAAGCAACATGGCGGCTGGCAAGCGACAGTGGAGCAATACGAGTAAGGACTAGCGAGCTGGGCTGCTTTTTACTAAAATATGATTCTCAAGTGCGCACGCCCGTTCGCTGCCTTCCGTGCGCACGAAAGCACTCTAAAACGCGCCTCGAAGCACCGGCACCGCACCTATTACGAGTAGGGGCGGCGATGTGAGGGGGGGGGGCATTCGAGGGAGTTTGTCCGCGACTGCTTTCGCGCGGCCGGCTGCATTTACTTCACGGCCAGAAAACATTCAAAGAAGGAATCGTGTAGCGACAAATGAAATGATATCTTTATTGAACAGAGAATCTGCTTGCTGTGTTTGCCGCAAGTGATCCGGCGTTTTCGGTTGACAGCGGCAAGGCGAGGCATCACCGATTCAAGCGGGGTCGGTTTCGATCGTTCAACGCTCCTGCTCACCTGCTAGCGTTCGTTATCCACTTTCAAGTCCCTGGTAATTCCCACCACCATGCACTATTCACCGCACGGAACACCCATTCAACTGGCTATGGGACTGATCCCACTGAGACGAGAGCACGAGAGGCCGAGAACCGAACCCCTTTGTGGCTGCTCCGTGGAGCCCTGGAGCGCCTCTATGTTTTCACTCAAATAAGTAGACACATAAACACACGACTCCTTGAATTGGGCGGTGACACGCGCCACCTAATGGACAGCTCTTAAACTAAGAAAAAAGAAACCAACAGTCTTTGGGCTGAGCGCCTCGCCAGGCATTTTCTACATTTTCCACACCTCACTTCACACAAACGCGACATACAGACACCATACAATATTATACATGAACGCGTTCACAAACAGCACAAGGTTCAACATTCGATATTGACACTCTACATTCCTATATACACAACTAGTCGACACCACCAGCTTATACACTGCCGTATTTTCTGTGACCGATTAGGATGGTGACCACTGTCATATTTTGCATAAATACGAAAAGACTGTCCAAGATTTATTCGTATATATTATTTTCCTTTACTGCCCTTAGGAAAGCGTTCGTATCTCTAATGTAATCCATTGCAAAAGTGAATTGCAGGTTATAAATCAAATTGAATTGTCGCTACACGTCACGTTTTGATCAGTTTCGTTTTCTCGCTTGCCTACACTTCAAGTATACAGAAGCCTGTTTAATTAATTGTATTAATTATCGACACCAATTTCTACGATCACAACTTTCTGAACACGCTGATGCATTTTCTTTTCTCTTTTTACATATCCGAATGACTTCAGCGGCGGTTGAGTATATGTTGAGCACACTGAGCGCGCGCAGGTGATTCTAGCCATGGAGAATAGAAGGGTAGGAGAGGGCATGACGTCGGCCGCGTAGCCTCCACAAGCCATGCTCCCTTGATGCCTCGCCTCTTTCTCATTTTCCTCCTTACTCTCCTCACTTACCATGCCAACGTGACCACATCACGTGACCGTAGCTAGCCTTCGTTTTGCTATGGGGTACTAGAATACACCACAGTCTAGACTTCGATCTGATAAAACCTCCCGGACGGAGCGCGCGCAAGCCTGCAAGGAGTCCTTCTACAATCAACCATCCATCTCACACGTGACATGTCACGCGCACCAATCGCCAGAGAGATCTGCGGTCACGCTGGGCACAAAATCGTTTAAACTTTTTATGACTAGGCTTCACCAATATTGCAACGTGCCCCCTCCTAGTACTTCTAACCTCCTTGATTCTAGCGAAGCCCGTTCGCCGGTCCTCCCCGAACCGTGGTTTCAGTTTTCTTCTTTTCGCTACAATTGTTACTGCTCAAGGGCATGTCTTTCAAATATGCGTTCTATGCGCTCGCGCCAAGAGGACAGTGCAGAATTGTCGTTTTCGGGCCCGTGCCTTCACCTACAGCCACGGCCACTCAATCCCCCCTGTTGGTGCGGCCTGCCGATGTTTTTCCGAAAACAAAACAGCGCGCGTTAGAGAAGAACTTCTTCCATTTTCCGTGGAGGCGCTGCACATCGGTGAGCGGTAGAGTGCCTTCCTACACACGCGTTCTTTTGCTTGAGTGGTGACATCTCAGCCATTTTTCCGCCCAGTCGTTTTTTTATGCATTTTGAAGTGCGCGCAATCCGGTGTCCCTCAGCTCGAGCGCGTAGCTTTGGCTAATGCATAGACGCCATATTAGCGCCCAAGTCACGCACCGAGTGCGCGAGAGCGTCACGCGCTGGCACATTTAGAGCAACAATGGATGTCTTCACCCTGAGACAGACAGACATGTAGGCACCCTAGTGAGTGGTCTTGTGAGCTGAAAGCTATACTCTCTTTCACCCAGTGTACCGCAGGAAAGGCTGTAAGCGCGAGCTCCTTGCTCTGGGGCAGATCTCGGCGGCACAAGCTCTCGTGCAGTAAGGGCAGCTGTCAACGCTATGAACTCGCGCTTCCAGCCTTCGCTGCGGTACAACATAAGGTGAAACGGAGTATAGAGAAGGCGCCCAACGCGCTCTCGCTCCGCTACCCAGACAAAATATCTGCCTGTCATTGGCTTCGCCGATACCGGGGCGCTGCCGCGGTTGCAGAAGGCAGCAAAACTCGCTTTACCCCCACCTATGCACCGCTGTGCTCGGCGAAACTATCGTAGTGTCACTCTGCGCTCGCGTGTGTGGTTTGTGTTGGCCTTGACCAAGGAGGACTCATCTATCCACGACCTGAAGCTGTCTGGCTGTGGAAGCTCGTCTGCACCTTTGTCGAGAGGACTCTACAGTCGGCAGAGATTCGTGGTTGTGGAAGGATTTGCAAGGTTTTCTCGAGCGCTGTGCTTCCACACCTTATGAACTGCCCGCTGATGTGGTGTGTTAACTGCCGAGACCCCTACCACAGCGAAGAGCTCTGCAATCTCTTTCTCAGAAAACTCCTCAGACCTTTTTTGGCAAACTGGGCTGGTGACCTAAACAGCCCACTAGGGAATATATTGAGGCTTTCGCGGAAGCCTCTTTCCCGAAAGGTACTCCGCTTGTGAACTATATGACTCCCTTGGTCTGTTTTT